AAGGAGCCTTCTTCTCGTTGAGCGCTTCTCAGAACTTCCGTCGAACCCAGCTTTTTGTTCCGTCATCTGCTAGTGAGCTGGCTAGCCAGTGAGTGACTTTCTCTCTCTCTCTCTCTCTGCGTGATTTGTTCGCCCCAGGAGAAAAAAAAGCCTCCAAAAGCCTCGCCTCCCAATGCCTCCGTCCCCTTCGTCGCCTGGCAGCTTCTCCGGCAGCTCCGGTCCCACAAGGCGGAGATCCACTGAGGCAAAGGCTCGGCCCAACTCCTCCAGGACGAGTCAAGGCACGGAAGGAACTGGGCACCCATTCCAAGTGGAAAAAAGACATGCAAAGTGGAAGAAACACCTTGGGAACTGGAGCCCATGTGTCCACTTTCGTGTTTGTTTTGGGGGGAATATGGTGAAAGTTCGCCACACCCAAATGAGACTGACTCAAACTGACTCAGCAACTGACGGCCACGACACCGCATGAAAGCCACTCCCGTGCAGCCCAACCAGATGGACGGACCTGCCCCCCCTCCCCTCCAGATAGAGGAGTTGAATCTCACCCAGCTCCAATCTCCTTGGTGCAAAGAGAATACGCTGGGCGACTGGGCATTCCTGGATCCTGCTGAACCAACGGAGTCCAATGAAGGGGGGTTTCTTGTCACAAGGAATACACGCCACGCTTCCCACCTGCAGTCCATGCAGTCCAGTCGCCTTTCTTTGGGACAATGGAGGCTGGTTTGCGAGTGCTCACATTTTGAATGAAACATGTGACCATCAGAAGGATGCTCTTGAACAGCTTGGCCCTTCGGTGGCTAGGGCAAGTTCATGACACTTTCTGTGATTGCTTGGGTGAAATGTGGTACTTCCTGTAAATCACTCGCGCCACCCTCGTCTCCTGGTCCGGGAGACCATCCGAGGACCGGGACCAGGACCGGTTACGTCACGAAAAGTCCACCCCGCGACGGACCTGCACCAGGTCAATCAGGGAACCTTAAGACAGACCCCTTTTCACTCCACTCTCACGAAATGTTCCAAAAACCACACCTGTCCCTAGTAGCTTCTTGTTACTAGTAGTATGCTCCTAGTAGTAAGGCCAGGAGCCCCTAGTAGCTTCCCGGAACTCACTGGTTTTGAACCACGTCTCCGGCTCCCCACCAGGTCCACTCGCACTCCGCTGTCAGCTCGCGACAGCCGCGCGCCGGAGCAGCGAGCGGCCTGCAGAATCGTCAGAGGCCTGCTGCGGCGGACGAGGATGTTCGAAGCGAGAGGAAGACCCTGGAGACCCCCGAAGGTCACAAAGCGAGAGCTTCGCGAGGATGGAAAAGGACTTGTTGGCACCTGGAAGAGATGCTTGGTCAGTTTCTTGAGTGGTTCTTTTTTGGGGGGGTTGCTATGTCCTGGACCGGAAAACTCGCGAAGTACGTGATCAACAAAACATACAGTACCTTGTTTTTAGACAGTGCTCCTTCACACGGCATCGGCCTGCACTTGGAAACAATAATAAACCTCATGGGCGTGGATCAGAAGCTCGCCTTGGCTTCAATGAGGACCTACAAAACACAAATGGTGCGAATGGTTCGAACGCACACTGCCTGGGCAAAACTACACATGGTTCACCTTTTAAATGTTGAGGTTGTCCAGCTTGATCGGATCTAAAGACCAGCTGTGCTGGGAGTGGAAACGAGGTTAAAGAGGGTCCTCACTCAGCTTGAAAGCCCTGGAGGTCTTCAATCAGAAAGTGTCTCACTGGGGCAGCAGAACAGATCCAAAGAAGCTGCTGCAAATCAAAAATGACCGAAAATCAATTGGACCGATTCAAAGAGTCTCACAAAAGCATCCTGGAAATGAAGCGCAGGGAGTTGGCATTGCCCTGGCCCTGACCCGGTCTCCCAGCCAGGGTGCACGGACAAGGCGCAGCTGCTCGCCGCGCGGTTGTGCGGGGTAAAGCACCGTAGCTGGAAGTAATCCTCAGTAGCTCGACAGCCATGACAGCGCTTGGTGCAGCGATTCGTGGGGTGTGGCCTTGCTGGAAGATATCACCACTCATTCACATAAATCACCACGAGATTCGTGTCCCATTTCTCCATCTATATATAGGAAACCATGCGAACGCAAATCGAGTCTCAGCTGCGGCCAGCAACTCGAGTCTCAGGCCAGCACCTCCCAGCAGTGCCCAAGGGACTCCAATTCAAAGTCGGTGTCCTCACAACTTAAGGCGCCGATCGAAGACAAACGTGGAGTTCCACAAACATGTTTCAAGGTCTCTAAAATAGAAGCCCCAAAATGCCGTAGATTAGTGGAGTGCGCACCTTGTGAAGGCTCATGTGCGATACAATCCGCCTGGAAAATTCACAAAAATACAAAACAACAACAAACTGTTTGTTGTGAACATACATTGACATACATCCACCAGCACTGTAGTGTTCACCCTCCTCCACTCTTGTGATCGTTCCGCTCATACCGTCCACGCACCGCTTGCATGGTAATGGTGAAGGCAAATATGGAGGGTCATGTGCTTGGGCATCATGGAAGAAGCACGAAGCGAATAGTTCATCAGGTCCATGGTTTTGTCTTCGACTTCAATGATTGTTCGTCAGCGTCTCGCCCTGAATCCACGAAAAGTGGCAGGTGCGGAAATGTGCTATGAGTGGTTTCATAAAACGATCAGGACCGCGCTTCGGATGTACGTTGATGTACAAGAACCCATCCACAAAAGGATGGCGCCTGAACCTAGCAAAAACAAAGACTTCAGCTGGGACCAGGACAAACCCGAGGCAGTGAACTTATACCTTGAAGTACTTGATCCAATGATTTCTTGGAATTGATTGAGATGTTCTTCTTCCACGAGCAAGTTGTTCACTGCAATACCGCATCCCAATGATAGACCGATCCCTTGACCGATGTGTGGAACGCATGGATTGACGAAGAATGACCCGATACATCTCACAAAGCCACAAACAAATGGAAGTGCATAAACCACGTGGAAAATGTACTGGAAACCGTGCCACGGTCATCTATTGGGGGATCATGATACAGTTAGTTGAATGATGTTGAAGGGTTCTGATGGATTTATCGAGGTCTTTGGGTGGCCGATGCGGCCAACTTCAATCTTGCATCTAGAGCGATGTGAGTCGTATACTCATCGAGGTCATGTTCTCATTCTTGGATGATTTCGTGAACTGTGATTTCGAGCTGCACTCTGACTCACCAATAAGATGGACCTGGACAATGGTCTCTTGAAAGACTACTTTCCGCTACAAACAGGAGGTTTGCCACTTCCATGTGATGTGCTTGTCGGAGCTTACATGGCTGGGTCATTTTCATGGGGTACGGTAGAGATGATATGTACTGTAACTCTTCCCAGTCCGATGGGATCGTTTGGGGTTGGATGATGCTTAAGGCTTGTGTGGTGTACTCACGCCATTCTGTGTCTTGACTTCTTTAGCACCCAATTCAGGCCACCAGCACGTCCCCCAGGGTCCGGCACGCGTGCCAACTCCCGCAAGCGTTCCACTTCGTCGTTGACCTCTTGGATGAAGAGAGGGGTGTGATGATCATCCCAAGTACAAGAACCAGTCAGGGTCCATGTTGCCCTGTGACCATTACCACACTGGACGTTGTTTGCATTTCAACAACCTATGGTCTTCATTGATCTTCGACCAAATCAAATAGTGAATGGTTCAAATCAAATCAAATAGTTGTGATGATCTTCCATGGTTCATTGATCTTCCACTATGGTCTTCATTGAGGCAAGAGGCAAGGTAAGTTCTGCACGCATCAAATATGGCAGTGGGTCATGGCACCTGGGCACCCTAGTTAGTTGACCCCGGATCAAATGAACAGAAAAACTCCAAGTACGGATGTCAACCGGTGGGGGAGCTTGAGATGACCTCCCAGCCATCAAAGCCACAGCCTCCAATTTCCCTTCAGCCTCTGCAGGGCGCGCGGCCGTGGCCACCGCGCGCGGTAACCCGCCGCGCGCCAAGCCCCCAGCGGCCGCGCACCACGCTATCCAGCTCTTCGACGACGCTCCGTAGGCCGCGGAGGCCGCCGCTCCGTACGGCTCGCACGGCTCCCGGCTCCCGCGGAAGGGTTGTCCCGTGGAGGGCACGGGCCATGGCCGGAGGCGAGATGCAGCGATCATGGAAGGCTGGAGACCACAGAGCTTGCTTTTGCCACATGTGAAGGCAAAAAGGTATTCCACAGCAGCAGCATGGACTCTTGTTCCAGGTACAAGTGAACTCCAACTAGGTCTCAAGAACAAGAGTGCAAAGCTGGGTTTGGATCGTTGGAGTGTTAGAAGGTGGGGGTGGCGTCTCAATTTCAGAGGCGTCCTACAAGAATCTGGTAGGATCTCCCAGTAGCAGAATCACCTTGGGTTTCAGGTCGAAGAGTTCCACAAGAACCGCCAAGATGGCATCAGCCTGGCTCTTGCCAGCTTTCATGTGACTCGTGGCACATGCTGTCTGTCTGCCTCAAAAGATGCTTGTAGCATTGTAGCTCATGTTCAAAGATCCTTTCATTGCATGTGATTGATGTCCAAATGACCTTTCGCTTGATGTGTGATTTTTGATGTTTTTGGTGTACTTGATATGTTCGATGCTGCCACCACTTTCCGCCATCATGGGGTCTATTTTCGAGGCTTCGTTGGTCTGTTGATCCACGTGCGTCCCGTTCGGTCGAGCGGTTCGGTCGTTCGGTCGAACGACCCCTGTTGGGACCGGGTGTGGCCCAGGTGTGTCCCAGGAAAGGATGGGTCTTCTGGGCGACAAAAAGAGAGCGCAGAAACCTGAGAGTTCTGAACATGGTCTTGTTGGTGGGCAACAAAAATGCAAAAAGCCTCCAGAATCCAACGCCAACAAAAGCCTCCAGAATCCAACGCCAACAGATGGGCCATAGCCAAGATCTTCCCCAAGTCAATGCACATGAGTTGCGCCAAGTGCTCAAACTCTGCTTTGGAGTCCTGGTGCAACTGGTGCCTTTCCCTAAACAAAGAAAAAATCCATGGCCCCGACGAGGGCTGGTTGTCATTGATGTTGAACTGCCACACGCTGCAGCGAGGGTCCCCCACGCCTAGGCGTCAAGGACTGGCCGGAAACCGTGGAACAGAGGAAACCACTCTGATACTCTAGAATTCTCTGTGTCTCTCCTCCTACAGAAGACCTACCCAGTCTTGGTTCGAGGAACTGCTGAAGAGCCTCTGGTGAAAGTCACAAAACTAGGGATTGGATCCTTCATCCAAACCAAAAGATCCGTTCTGCTGCCACCAGTCCAGCGGATACCCCATCACTGGATCACACGGATCACACCGATCGTTGGTGCTTGGGAGTGGCAACTGCAAGTTGATAGACTCCCCCCTGCCCCACGTTGCTCTTCTCTTGATAAACCTTGAAGCCCCTAGCAGCTGGGGTGCTGGGCACCTGAGAGAAAAACTGTGCTACCACTGGCCTTGTGCTTGATCATGCTTGATCCATGTTGACCTTTTCACCCCAAACAATCGCCCCATCCCCAGGCAGGTCCAGGTTCACGGGCAGGCATTCTTGCAGGTCTGCATGTCAGTGACCTTCTCTAAGCCCGTGTTGAAGAGACCCAGACCTTCGAAGACGAGCGGTCGCGGTCTTCGTCTTCAGCCGGCATCGAACCGTCCCGGGTCGCCCGGGCTGCGAGCGACGGCCTGGGTGCGACCGGACAAGGGGACGAGGTTGATGCTGGAACAAGGGGGCATCAACCATATGCTCAACCATATGCTGGAAGCATTTGTATTGCTGTCCCCTTGTTCCAGCATCAACCATATGCGAGCATATGTTGTTCGGAACTTTGACAAGTCACCGAAATCGCAGAAATGAACTACCAACTGTCGACCAAAACTAGGCGTTGCTAGGCGTTTGATGCTCCAACACCCTCATTCAAAGCTTTAGGATAAAAAGAGTAGCATTGCGTTCTTCAAGTTCTTCACCACGCTCGTCCACAGCCAACCAAGCAAGTTAGTCCCGTGAGCATGCTCACAGCTACAATCTTTCACAACCACCACACAAAATGTCCGGATGTCTGCTATATGGTGGGCACCTACTGTAACTCAATTTGGCGTCACTACCCGGTGGCTTGAAACGAGCATCCTTGAAATACAACCCTGACTGGACTAAAAACCTTCTTTTAAAAAAAAAGGAAAACTGCAAAGTGGCAGGACTGATGGGCTCCCGACAAGCCCTCCTCCTTTAAAGACACTACCTCTTTGATCTCTTCCCGGAACCCCGTTGACTCATGAAAAGCTGCAGCGCAACGAAGCTTTTTCTGCAGCTGCCAGGTTTATCAGGATGAAATGCCGTAATGCCCCAGGCATATCTCCAAAGCTTCATCAATGAATCACAGCTTTTCGGCAGCTCTCAACGTTGCAGGTCGAATTCGATGGGGAGTACCTGATCAGAAATGAGACGAAGCGAAGCGTTTCGCTTCCGTCTTCTCTTTGTGGCAATCCAGGAGCTTGGATCACCCAAGAGCAGGACGGTTTGCTGGGAACCAAAAGTTTGGTCACAAAAAACCATCCTATATAATTACTATATACTGGTTTGAGGATCGATTCTTCTCATATGTTCCTTTGTTCACCTGGCTCGGACATCTAGCTTCCGATCGCACCCAGCTTCTTAAGCTCACCAAAACCTGCTGACTGGGTGCAGGAAGATCTGCGCGGTGAGCCGTTCTTCTTCAGGTTCCTCAGGGCTACATCCAGCATGCCACAGGCGCCAGTCCGGCTTCACCTGGCACTTTCGTCCCGCAGGTACTTGAGGCGGATTCCATATAAAGGCCCAACCACCCCGGGTTTAACAAAAATAGCAAGACGTGAGAAATCACGTAAGACCTGGAGGTCACCCACTTTTGAGTCGCAACCAATCCGCGCAGTTTTGGGGGGTATCGGACGTCTAGTTTCCTATTAAAATGTGCAGACATGCGGGCCCAGACCCAACTGTAGAAGCTCAGGCGTCATTCCTTCTTAGGTGCTCATGACTCATGATGCTCCTTCCAACCTGTTTTGACGCCCTCCCCAGAAACGAAACAGAAACCGCCAACGCCACGGCCCCCGCGCGCCCCGCCTCGCGCGGTGTCTCCGTCTCCATAACATCCATCACCAGGGCGTCGCCCCGGCGGGAGAGGACCCGGAGCCCGGGTGCCTTCCTGAGTCGTCAAACACACGGCAAGCCGACCTGGCCACCCGATGAGGGTGTGATGTGGCATGCCGGGGGAGCGAGGGGGAGCAGATTCGGTAAAAAGATGTGGCAGGTGATTTGGCCAAAACAGCAAACCAAATACCAAAACAGAGTGCATGTTTACTTTTGATGGCAAGGCAAGTGCAGGACTTGACGGAGCTGAAGTGCAGGACCTTGTGCCGGAGCTGAAAAAGCAAAAAAAAATGCAGGACGTTGAGCGCGCAAAATCTTGAAAAATTGTTCAAAGAGATGGAAGAAAGCCGCTGCTGGAAGGACCCCCTCACACCTCAAAAGAGCCTCACCGCCCGTTTGGTGTGTGTCTGTTCTTTGGAAAACGTCTGCCTGAATGCTCACCTTTTGAGGGGATCTACTATATATGACTATATGATCTACTGGCAGATAAATACACAAATAGACCCCAAGTATCGCGGACGTTCCCACAGCGGAGGGTCCAAAAACGGTCACATCAACGGACCAACAAATCAACGTGATTGAGCTTTCTTTACAAACCAAATGATGGAATGACAGATATTTGCGAGGTGTGCGAACCACGCCATTTTCAAGCAGAAAAGGTCGCAACGTTCACCTGGCCGGTCGAACCATCTTGGAACCAAGCTGGTTTCTCTCCATGACCTGGTTCCTCCATCATCCAAGCATCCCATGGCACATGGCTTCAGCCAGTGCATGCAGCGGCTTGCCGGCAGCTGCACACCCAAGCGCCTCCAGTGCTACGGCGTCATGGCCGGGGAGCCACAGCCAATTCACCGGGCGCAGGCCCTCCGCAGTCTCCTCAAGCACTGGAGCGAGTGAGAAGCCTCCCAAAAATGTTTCCTGGTGAAACCTGGTGTTTGATAATCTTTATCTATGAAGGACTCTCTGGTGGTCGGTCTTCAGGGAGGCTTCAAAAGCAGTGATGAGGGGAGCATTGTCAATTACCCCATACTGTCCAAAAGCAGACTTGGAAAAAGTTGTTTCTGAACACAAACACTGTTCATTGTTTTGCTATTACATCCTTCTAGTTCCAGGATACATTCAATCTTTGGCAGAACCAAAATTACACCAGCATAGACCCAGACAGTATGCAAAATAGTTTTCTGGACTGTGCCCTGCATTGGCAGCAGCTCCAAAGTGCACACAGGAACCTTTTCTTACAGTGGAGAAAAAAAAACATGAAAAAAACACCGCAGTACATCGTGGCGTTTCTCCACTACACGCACAGCCAGCACCAGCACCAGGCACCGGCACGCCAGCTCACAGCACCCAGCGCCAGCACCCAGCACCGGCGCCCTCTCTCCACCACGTCCACGGCCAGCTCACAGCACACCACAACCAGCACCAGCACCCGGCACCGGCACCCTGTCTCAAAAGCGTGCACAGCCAGCTCATTGTTTTTTGAACTAAGAACCTCATAGCTGTCGCTATCTGGAGAAAAACATATTATTGACGAACCCGGCACGATCGGTCCCTCGGTGGTCACACACTCATGGCTCATCATGGCTTTTCATCTGCGGCTGAGGGGGGCTTGTACCATAAGGTTCCGACGGTAATTCGTTCGGTCTTCGACTGTCCACTCATGCTCTATACAAATAGGGACAGACATGCACTTTCATACATCCCTTTTTCGTCCCTTGTTTGTTCAGGATCTCTTCATTCTATCAGCTATCATTTCACCACCACCAACACACACACCAACCAAAGAACGCAAAGGAAGCTCCAATCAAGTTCATTTCTTGGCTTTCCCAATCCATCGTAGGATTGTTGGGTTTTCGAAGGAAGTCCATCTTGGCATTCATTTTGGTGAGGCCGTCCACTAACATATGGTCAGTTGGCAACCACATGATGGAAATACCATCTTTGGCTACATCACGTTTGACCAGCAGCATTTCAATCGCTAAGCGCTTGTCCTTGGTAGTCATCAATTGACCATTCAAGTGATCAAACACAGGTCTGGAGTCAACTGCAACAGTCACTGGAATCCGTGATGTCCATATCTGGTCTTCTTCTAGCTTGTAGTTGGCCTGAATTGCCTCAGCCCAAATTGACCTGATCCATTTGGTTTCCGAGATGGTCCTTGACAAGGTCATCAACTCAGCTCCCAGTGTAGAAGCCACCTGTCTGTCTTGTTTATAGCTTCTCCATCTCAAGGGTGACAGTTCTGCCCACTCATCTCTTCTTAGACGAGCATCTGTTGCACAGACCATGTACCCTCCTTGGCTTTTCCACTGAGCTGCGAAACTCGCGTCCGACCATGCTGCAAATTCCACCTGTTCTGGTGGAATCGGTTTCGCAAACAACTTCATTGCCGAAAAGTCTCGAGCCTGGGCTACCATTTTGTTGATCGACGCGGCTATCTTTTGCTGCGTTAATGAACATCCAGCAGCGAGATCCGGCCTACTTCCAGTGACCAGCCACTGGATTTCCCCAAGAACGTGTCTTTTCCTGTGCGTTTGTTTCGTTTTCATTTTCTTTTCTACGTTCTTTACTGATAGGAATGCACTGTATCGTCTCCGCGTACTCCTTTTGTTCAAAGGAAATGGAGAAGTCTTCGTGTTGTTTCAAATTCTTTCCCAAAAACTCTCCTCCGTCATGTTTCACATGTTTGAATGGATACCTGTCTCTAAGTCTCTGGAACTTACTTGACATGAAGCTAGGGCTCCCGGCTCCCGCCAATGACTAAGTCATCAACATGAAATGCAATGACCCCATCAAGTCTTCCGTTGGCTTCTCTGCTGAAAAGCAAGCAACTGTCAAGTTGTGACTGCATCATTCCTATTTCCATCAAAGCTTTCGTCAATGAGTTCCACCACAATCTCGGAGCGTCAACTAGTCCGTAGACAGGCTTGATGAGTTCACACAAGTTGTCTTGACCATGTCCTGGTATTCCGTCTTTTGGAATTTTCACCAAGATCTTTCCTTTTTGTCGGTCGATCTGATCTCCTTGAAGAAAGGTGCCTTCGATGTCTGCTATGGTGAGTTGCCAACGAAAGCTAGCCAAGATCTGTAGCACAACTGAAAAAGCCTCATTGCTCAAAGTTGGCGAAGCTGTTTGCACATCCAACACATCCGGGTCTAAATAGCCCCGAATACACCACCGAGCTTTCAACACTCCTTCGTTGCTGCTGTCGTCTGACGTGTACACTGTACACAAATCTAGATTCTAACACCCTATCCTTACCCACTTCTTTTTCAAGGTCTTCAGCATCTTTACCTACATTTTTTTATGGCGCCAGAACTAATTACTTTGTTCCATTCTTTCACCTTCGCCTCATCAAGTTCTTTCCGTTTCGTTTCCGACCGGTTTTTGGGGTTCAACTCTCTGCGTTTCACCTTCCTACTCTCTTCAACCCTTTCCATGCTTTCCAAGGACCCCCTACCCTTAGTCTGATCGGTCAT